AGCATGAATATAAACGAAATCGTTCAAAAACCACGCCTTGTACCACGCCACAGTACATAAATCAAGCTACAATGAATATATGGGGAAACTACTACTTAGCCCCCATATACCTAATATAAATATTTTAGAACTTCGGGTTGACTTTACACCGCATATATCGGTCAATATATGAGTTATCTTAATATAATTGAGAGAGCATATGTGGAAGTATCTTAATGAAACTAGAATGCATTTTTTTTGTGGGAATAGTTTGTCGTAATGCCAAAAATTGATAAAATCGGGTCAATACCACCCCTTGCTTCCATATATCTAACTTCCGGTTGGCTTTATACCGCATATATTGAGTAATATGTAAGGTATTTTAGGAAAACAAGTAAGGAAATTCTAAGTTTTTATACTATCGCAACTTGCAAGGATCAAAGTCCGGGAAATGACTTCAGGTGTTGGCAAAATTTTATATTAAAGGAAGTATTGATCCGATTCAACCCATTTTTGACACAAAGACATACTATTATCGAGGGTTTCATTTATTTTTTTTATTATGAATTTCAATTATATATCTAACAAATCGACCAATATTTTCGGTAAAAAGTCAACTGGGGTCCACATATTCAGTACCTAGGGGCTTGAACAGTTTTGGTTCGATTAAGACAATTTTTAGTCACAAGCTGACATACTTTAAACGCATTATTCCCGCAAAGTTTTACCCCGATACAGTCATTTTGCTTGATTTCCATAGTGGAAAGTGAAAGAATCAGATGGAATTTAAAATGGTGTTATATGGGAAATAGGCGTGGTTGTAATCCGATTTCGCCCATTTTCGCGGTGCCACGCCCGCTGTCTAATTTTGAACGCGGTTCCTATAAACTATAAATCCCAGAGATAACATTTAATGTCTCCGGCATGTTTGGTGCTTGATTTATCGCATTTTTAGTACTTTTCAACAATATCGTTATATCGGGAGTTGGCGGAGTTGCCACTCGATTTCATCCATTTTCACAGTGTCGATAGAGGTGCTAAAAGCATTTGCTCTCAGTGAATTTTGGTATTAAAGCTTTAACGGCTTAGGAGATATGCACATTAAATCAACTAGGGGGCGGAACCACGCCCCAAATTTTAACTGCAGATGCCTCTCTATAATGTAGTCCTGTGTACCAAATAACAGTCTTGTATCTTATTGTGGAGCTTAGTTATGGCAATTTATTTGTTTTTAATTAATGGCGTTTTGTGGGCGTGGCAGTAGTCCGATTATGCCCTTCTCCAACACCAACCGTCTTACGGTACCAAGAAACACGTGTACCAAGTTTCATAAAGATATCTCAATTTTTACTCAGTTACAGTTTGTGCAGACGGACGGACAGACAGTCACTCGGATTTCAACTCGTCTCTTCATCCTGATCATTTACATATATATAACCCAATATCTAACTCGATTAGTTTTTGGTGATACAAACAACCGTTAGGTGAACAAAACTATTATACTGTGTAGCAACAGGTCGTGAGAGTATAATTAAGTGAAAACATAACTCCGGATATATGTACTATAATTTAATGCAGAAAGTTTTAGAAATCGGTGCCCGAATTACCCCAGCCTCCACATACTATCTATAACGATTTTTATTATTCCAGCAGATTTTGTTCTCAATATGTCGGTTTGTGTGTAAATTATATTATAACTTTTTTTTTGTAACATGATAACTTATATTAAATTTTGGATGTACTAGGGCCACTAAACAATAATATGTGAATGAAAAAAAACTTGACACGTCAGGTTTCCTTGTGACAGCAAAACATATATCTTCTTAAAAAATACAAATATCAGTCACATTTAGAGTAATTTTTTTATATAGAAAAGTTAGATGAGAGTCCCCAAGCTTTAAATGGCATTATAAGTTCATTTATTAAGTCTTCGGAATTTTCCGATTTATAGTTTCCTCTAAAATGTTGGACAATGTGCACATAATATTATATATCCAAGTGAGTTTTTTCTGATCACTCAGTTTTTCTTCAAAGCTCTCATTCGTTATCAGGTGCCATACTAGTGGACCTACAATAATTAATCCTCGCTGGATGTAGGGAATTTCCTTTTCTGATATAAAAATGGATTTGAAGGCTTTGGCACAGGCAGTTCAGCACTATGTAGGATGGGTCTGTTAGCCGAAGGATACGGAGTAGTGTGCTTGGACTTGGTTGTAATGCCTTTTGTTTGAGTCAAACGAAAATAACCATCACTTATATGATATTTTGGTTCAGTCCAAATCATTGGTATACCTAATAGCAGTCTCACACACAGGTGTCACAAGAAAACTGGGCGGGATCGAAACAAAATTTTTATATTTTTAATGAGGGTACAGCAACATATACAAAAATTATCACAAAATTCGTGTGACAAAAACAATGTTTACCAGTGTTACCTTCACAAAATTACATAGAAGCATGTTCTGGAGTATACTTTAGTAATGGCAAAGCTTAATGCAATCAGTCTAGATCTTTTCCTCGCCCCAATATTCGTAGTATAGTGATTTCCATCTGACTTTAAAGCGTTTTTGTTGATTAATTTGTGTAAAATTTTAATACATTTAAGTGGACAATTTCCCTTAGAAATAATGTCTTTTAACGGAGAATATGAATGAATTTCGTCTAGATCTTGGTCCAAACCTCATATCACTAGTATCCCGATTTCCGATCCTTTAGTTGATGTTTTCTCATATACCCAATATATTATATTAAATTTAGTCTCTTCATTTGAGTTTATATTATATAACATATGTGCATACGAACATATCACATTTAAGTTAATTAGTTTGATTTTTATATAATGAATGTTAAATTATTTCGCAATATTTTTTGTACTCTGGCAACATGTTGCAACAGAGAGTATAATAGTTTTGTTCACATAACGGTTGCGTAAACCTAATCGAAATAAATATGGAGTTAAATACAGTCAAACCTGTTTTTGTGCGGTAGATACGGACCGCAGAAAAAAAAACTACACAAAAAAAAAATATCCAAAAACTTCATAAATAGCTATAAGAAATAATTTTTCACAGCACATTAAAGAAATTTTTTTTCACATAGTGTTTCTTAAAAGTTGCGATTATGCCCTGGTCCAATAGTTGTATAAGGCTAGTCGTATTGGGTGGTAAAAACACTACTTGTACATTAGGATGCTCTAAACAAGGATGACCGGGTGCATTGCCAACAATTAACAACACTTTAAAAGAAAGACCCATCTCTGTCATATATTTTTCAACTTCTGGTACGAAGCAATCGTTGAACCATGTTGTAAAACCAGCTGATGTGCGTGGGTGCAAAGCTTTATTTATAAGATATGGTTTTAACATTCTTGCACCAGATGCATTACTACCAAGAAGGAATGTAATTCGATCCCTTGCAGCCTTAAAACCACTTGCAGCTTTCTCAGACTTGGCGATGAACGTTCGGCTGGGCATCTTTTTCCAAAATAACCCAGTTTCATCTGCATTAAATACTTGATCTGGGCAATATCCACCGTCATCAATAATTTTGGCTAGGACTTTGCAATAATTCTTAGCAGCTATTTCATCGGCGGATGCGGCCTCGCCTTGTACCTTCACATTGTGAAGTGCTTGTCGTCGTAAAAATCCAGTTAACCAGCCATTGCTGGCAGAAAATTTCAGGTTTTGAAAGTGGGATGTGGAACTAGACGGTTCTAAATCCTTCAGCTGATTTAAATATTGTTTAGCTTTCTCCTTAATTAAATCTCCCTCGATGGGGATTCGTTTTCGAGTTGAGTCGTTAATCCAAAATATGAGGGCCTTTTCCGTTTTCTCTATTAAAATATTTCTAGAATATGATATTCTTTTACCACTTTCATTTGTTGCAGAATTTGTAGATTCATTTATTCTACTTACACGTTTTGTATTGCTCTTATAGTGGATTCACCTAATTTATATTCTTTAGAGTTGTCGATCCTTCACCATCTGCTAGTCTATTTAATAAATTGACTGAAGTTGATAAGCCACAATTTTGGCTTTGCGATCTCAAAACTTGAGTGTAAAAATGCGGTTATAAAAAAACAGAGGAAGACTTTAATACCCTTAGTCTACCCTTAGTACTAATAAATAAAAAAAATCGCGTTTAGTGGTAAGAATATTTTTTATAAGTGCCGTATTGGAAATTGAAATATCGCAAATGTTTCGTTTTGGCTTCTAATCAAATAATTAAAAATTTATTTTTGTCTGCTATCCCTGACAGATTCCGATAAGGTGGTCTCAGCTGTGTAACACACATAGGAAAATAGTTTCCGCTACCTCGCATTATAATAACTCACGGAGGCGCAGAATCGGATGACATTTATAGAAAAACAAAGCAAGATCGACATACTATGGAACAATTGCTAATGGCAAGCTAACAAGTATCGAAAGGCACACAGCTCAGCATACTCTTTGAATATGTGAAGCGAACCATGGCTGATTTAGAATTCTTGCATTTAAAGACTCCTCACTGCGAATTATATTCGCACCCAATACTATAAGTAACCAAGTGCTATGAAAACAAACAGAGGATTCCGGACAGCATCATGAATTAAATCAGACGACCTTTAGCCATATAAATTGGCGAAAGCTTGTTGTACATACATATATGAAGGAAAATTAATTTTCGGTAAATTTAAATTTTTTGATGAAAAATAATAGTAATTTTTATTTTTTATAATTCCATTCAAAAATAACTACTTCTTCCATCTTACCTCAAATTTTCTCGGAAAAAGACGTTTATAATATAATTTTTTTTTTCGAATATCAGACTTTTAATTTCACATAATCTCGGTAATATTGGCTTGTATACTTTCTCAGTTATTTACATACATTAATTAATATTAATTTATAACTTTGAAAATTGAGAAAACATTTTTTTTACTAATGAATAAATCTCTCAAAGTTTGGTTTGATCCAATACCCAGATTAAGTGTCGGTTTTGCCGAATGTTATTATAAGATTATCATATTGATACTTACGCACCTTAATGCCGGAACGTCCTTGCTGTTTTAGTAATACGTTTTCAGGCTTCATATCACAGTGAATAATTTCATTCCTGTATAATGCATCTAAACATTGTAATAGCGAATGTGCAAATTTTCGCACAAGTTGGAGGCTAAAACCTTTAAAACCATTTTTTTTTATCAACTCATATAAATTTATGTTGAGCAGTTCGAAAGTAATACACATATGGTTCCGAAATGTAAAATAATCAAACATATGGATTATATTCATTGTATTATACTTGTCTTGTTTACGTAAATGATGCAAAATGCGAATTTCTTCCTGTGCTTGGCGATGGAAACGTTTTTCATTTCGGACCATTTTTAAAGCGATATGTTCATGTGTCTTATGGTCGTATGCTTTAATTACCTGTCCAAAGCTCCCTTTGCCTATCACTTTAAGCATTTCATAACGATAGGCTACGTGGTCATGTGGTATATGGATATAGGCTCCCTGTTCGTTATCATAGTCAGAATTATTTGGGCCGAAAATGCCCGAACGTTTCTTAGCGTTGGCACCAATAAAATATATATGCGGATACGCTAATATTTCAGCACGTTCATATGGAGTTAATTTATGCATATATAATATCATTACTTGTTGCGGTGACACCACTAATGACTTTGGTTTATCTTGTAAAGCATTCTTTTGCTGCCCTGACATAATGATCTGCTCATGCAGCAGAAATGTTTCTCCAGCTTTCGATATTTCCTCCAATTGACCATCTATTGCAGCAATTTTTGCCAACGCTTCGCTACTTGGGTTATTGCATGTTGTATCTGTTGGTAAACCGACACTGATTTGACTTTTTAATGTCGCAATTGGTGTCGAAGGGGAAGCAGATGATAAACCACCAGATGTAGAAAGCACCCTTCCCAGTGATAATACTGTAAAAAAATTATATGATAATTTTAACTTATTTATCTTTGTAACAAAAGTACATATGTTTATCGAATTCTTTAGTAATATTTAGTCATTAAATAGTTGTTACTAAACAACTAATTTCTAAGCGTTAAAAGCGACTGAAATATTTCTTTGTTACAATAAATTTTGCATATGAATATAATGTACATTACAAGGTGGTATTGTCAACCGTTGACCATCAATTTCGGTATCATATTAACTTTCGCCAAAGACCACATTATTGCTGAGGGGATTAATAGAATAGAAAGGTGTTTTTCTTAGACATGTGGTTTTCTTTATTATAAAGATAAAGGTTTGCCATTATGTTTTAAAAATGATTTCGAGAAAGTGTCCGCCGCTCAAAAAAATTCCAGCCGAAAAGTGCAATTTTTGACCATCTTTTGCAACAATCGGGGCCGTATATCAGCAATAGACTCCAGATAACTCCACAAGAGATGGTCCAACGATGTTAAATCGCATGAACTTGGAGGCCACGCCACAGGTCCACGATGTGCGATAATGCGCTTACCAAAAGTTTTCTTCACTAAATTGAGTGTTTCGTTGGCTGCAAGACATGCATCTGCAGTTTAAATTTTTTTTATATTTTTTTGTGCATATCTCCTACACCGCTAAAGCTATACTAAGAAAATTCACTGGAAACAAATGTTTTTAGCACCCCTATCGACAGTGTGAAAATAGGAGAAATCGGGTGAGAAACCCGCCCTCTCCCCATATAACGGAACTGTTAAAAACTACTAAAAGCGCGATAAATCAAGCTCTAAACGCGCCAGAGACATTAAATTTTATCCCTGTGATGGTATGGGAAATCGCTTTTAAATTAGACAGTGGGTGTGGCACCGCCCACTTTTAGTTGAAAACCTATATCTTGCGATCTGCTTAACCGATTTCAACCAAATTCGTTTCATAACATTCTTATTATATTTCTATGTTATTGGGCGAAATCGGATTACAAACACGCCTACTTCCCATATAACACAATTTTAGATTCTATCTGATTCTTTCACTTTCCACTATAAAAATCAAGCAACAATGATTGTATCGGGGTAAAACTTTTCGTGAATAATGCGTTTAAAGTATGACACCTTGTGACTAAAAAGTCAAACCATAACTGTTCAAGCCAATAGGTATGTGGACCCCTGTGCCTATAGCTGACTTTTTACTGAAAATATTAGTCAATGTGTAAGATATATAATTGAAATTCATATAATAAAATAAATAAATAAAACTCTTGATAACAGGATGTTTTTGTGTCAAAAATGAGTTGAATCGGATCAATACTTCCTCTAATATAAAATTTTGCCAACACCTGAAGTCATTTTCCGGGCTTTGATCCTTGCAAGTTGCGAGAGTAAAAAATGTTCGGTTACACCCGAACTTAGAACTTCCATACTTGTTTTTGTTTAGTATTGTTTAACATTTCATCATGGAAAGACTTACGCCTGAACAACGCTTAAAATCGTTCAACATTGTTACGAAAATTCAAGTTCTGTAAAGATTGTGTTTCGCGCGCTTCGCACAACTTACGGTCAACATAATCGGCCTGCTGAGCATACTAATCGCAACACCATCACCCATTCTGAAACCCACCATTCATTATTGGATATTATTCGACCGAATAGATCACGTTCAACACGCAGTGACAGAAATATAGTGACCGTAGCTCAGAGTGTACATAAAAACCGTGGAGAGTCGGTGCGGCGACGTTCGCAGCAACTCGGACTAACGTATGGAACGACTTGGCGTATTTTACTTCATGATCTTAAATTGAAAGCATACAAAATACTGCTTGTGCAAGAACTGTAGCCGCTCGAACTTCCTAAGCAACATCGCTTCGCTCTATGGGCTCTTGAAATGTTCTAAGAAGACCCGACGCTTTCGTGCCAATTTCCAACTCACCACATAAATCAATAGATTTCAATTGCGGTCATTCGATTCCGGTCATTCGCCAGTTAACAGTTATGCTCGAACGAGTCATCGAAATTTGGACACAACGGATGGACCATCTGAGATGGTCTAACTAATAAGTTTAATGTGCATATCTCCTATACCACCGAAGCTATAATAACCAAATTTACTGAAAGAAAATGTTTTGGCACCTTTATCTACATCGTGAAAATGGGTGAAATCGGGTGACAAAACTGCCCACTCCCCATATAACGGTACTGCTAAAAACTACTAAAAGCGCGATAAATCAAGCGCTAAACAAGCCAGAACTATTAAATTTTATCTCTCGGATGGTATAAGATGATTTTATAGGAACCACGTTCAAAATTAGATAGTGGGCGTGGCACCGCCACTTTAAGGGGAAAACCCATATCTTGGGATCTGCTTAACCGATTTCAACCAAATTCGGTACATAATAT